TCTGGTTCCTATTGCTGAGGGTCCTATGAATCCATCTCTCTCGTGCCATTGCTGAAGCTAAAGCTTGTTTGGTAGTAATCTTAGATTGCATGTTTAGAACATCTTCAATGTCATTTTATTCATTCTTTCAATGTCTAATTTCATTTTATTTTATTTTATTTTATTTTTTTGCATAACTACCACTGTGTTGCTCCGTATGTTTCCATGCAAAATCACTTTGACAGAAAAAAGGTTCACATTTTTTTCCAAAGACCTTTTCTTGCTTCTGATTGCATCTTAAATACTGATAGTTGTATTCGTAGTAGTGGTACAGAGGCAGTGGTGGAATGTGGCAGTTATGGGGAGGTAGTAGTGGAATAGAGGTAGAGGTAGTGATAGCGATGGTGATGAAGGTTGTTGGGAGGTAGTGATGGTGGATGGATAGAAGTGTGATGATATTAATAAGATTTTAGGTTGGAAAACTTTGTAAAAGGAAAACATTTTTTGTCACGTAAGTATTTTTTTGATTGATCATAAAAAATATTTTTTTATTAATTTTTGTTTTAATTATACCAAAAGTAAAAAATGCAAAACGTAGGATAATGAAAAGAAAATAAATAAATAAAATTCTTGGTGAAACAAAAATCAGTAAATCATTTTACCATAATCAGCAGAAATAAATATATTGATGTGGCATATTTGGTTTTGTCAAACTTTATACCAAATGTGGCACAATATGTAACACAACTATAATTTAGCCACGAATTTACCATCGAAGTTGATTATGGGAAATCAAGCTAAAAAAAAAACCTTTGGCAATATAATTTTGACTTGGGTGAGCTAAAAGCTACTTTGCCAGAACAAGTAATAAATACCTACTTCTCCAACGTCTAGATAGTTAAGTTTATTTGTCTAATATGGCTCTGTTTTGGAAAGATGAAAGTAAATAATTTTTTAATTTATTTGTTTATTTTTTAATTTATTCACAAAAATTATTTGAGAAGTGTTAAATGAGCAATTTTTTAAAAATTATTATTATATAATGTCGCATCACTTATAAATTATAAATTTATCATATTATCCTCAAGCATTATTAATGCATTTTTGTCGAAAGCCAAGGATATTTTGATAATTTAACTTGTTGGCATATTTCTCATTTCTCAAATGAATTTTTGATGAAATAAACTGTTTTTTTTTTACTTTTTAAAAATAACCCCAATTTTTTTTCTTTTTTTTTTTTCTCAAATTAAGGCCTTACTTGGGAACAAAGAAAAAAGCAAAACTTTTGACTTATTTTCAAAAAGTCAAAAGAACAATTTATTTCATCAAAAATTCATTTGAAAAGTGAGAAATAAGTCAACAAGTGAAATTATCAAAATATTCTTGGCTATATGGCTTCTGACAAAAATACAAAAATACATTAATAATGCATGAGGGTAATATGACAAATTTATAATTTTCCAAATGATGTAACACCATATAATAATAATTTTCAAAAAAGCAAAAAAAATATTTAAGCCCATTTTGGGAAGTGACAAGACAACTTATTAACTTATTGGCTTATTTAGATCACATCACATTTATACTTTTTACAAATTTTTTTGTAGTAAGCAAAAAGCTAATGCTTCCCAAATAATTTTGTGAATAACCAAAAAGTAAGAAAATAAACCAAAAACTATTTATTTCCACCTTCCCAAAACAAGCCTAAAAGCTGTAAGAATAAACCGAACCAAACAATATAGTACAAAATTTCATAATAAAAAAATAATAAAAAGTTATAAATAACTTTGATAAACCAGCACGTGTACAGGACTTGCATTTGATTTCTTAAACTATATTTCAGTCCTCATATCAAAGTATAAGAAAAAATTGAAACCAAAATATTTAACCCTAAGGGTGGTTCGCAACTTGGCAAAGCCCGAGGGATTAAGCCCCTAGGTCCTAGGTTCAAAACCCCCTTGGGCCAATCTTCTTGGCGGTAGCACAGTTAATTAGGAGGTTAGTCTCAAACATTTTATCCCACTTGGTGTGGGTTTAATACTCCCTCGCTGTGTGAGTCTTGACTTAAGGTCGAGGCAAGTTCCCAAGCTTCATCGCACTTGATGTGGGTTCAATACTCTCCCGTTGTGCGAGTCTTGACTTAAGCGGAGGTCGGGGAAGTTCCTAGGTTATAGTCTCCTAACTCAGAACGGACAACAAAACACCCTGGTGATCTTTGTAAGGGGTGCTGCCTTGGACTTGCAGGCGAGTAGAAGGATTTTCCTATAACAAAAGAAATAAAAAATAAAAAATAAATAAATGAATAGAATAATCTATATCATGAAATGAATAAATTTAGAGATGTTGATATGAAGCTTTTATTTCTTGTCATTATAGTGGCTGTCTAAATCTAGCTAGGACAATATTCAAATTAGAAAATGACATTGAAACTTATTTGGGTTTTTGATTCCAAGATCTTTTTTTGTTGAGCCAACAGATCTCAATGTATTTTCAACAAGGTGGTTGACTGTAGATCATGTTGCCACCAGTCCACATACCTCAAGAAAAACATTCTTTTATTCATTCAGACTCTATAATATTATTAAGTATAATTCAATCACTGTTTAAATCAATTATAGAATAATATACTGATAAATATTAATAATATAGAAGATGATTCCAATATGTTTGTTCAAGTGCTATACACAAGAATATTTATTAAAAAAAAAATTGTATATATCACTATCACAATTATCAGCATATATTATTTTTACAGTCACAATTAAATTTTTTTTCCAAAATAAATAAATTTGTGCAAGTTTTAAATAGAAGCTTTTTCTTTGTTTGAACAAATTTAAATTTATGTAAAGGTTAGTTTTCATATTTTAGGTGCTGGAAGCAAAACTTGTTTTCTTTGAATTGTCGTCATCAACACACCCAAATGAGTCTAAATTTGGCAATTCTTTTGGAAAATCGATTTTGAATCAAAATGTCAAAAATGGACTACTTTGCCAGATTACAGAGTCGCCACCTAAATATTTTTGGAAAATTTAGGAAACCCATGACTCATGTCAAAGGCCTCATGTTCGTTATCACCAAAGTGTCTCAGCTCGGGAACTTAGGTACGAGAGGGGAAGATCATAAATTGAGCACCCCACTCGCCTGATCAAAGATTGGCCTCTACTAATCATGATGTGATACTTATTTACATTATATGCTCTTGTTCTGATTTATTAGGCTATTTTTACTATGTGTTGCACACAAGTATAAACTAATTTGCAAAAGTTAGAACACTTTGATTCTATGTTTGTTTGGAAATTGTTTTGAATATGTACTACTTGAAAAACTAATCTCGTATGTACATTCATCAAATCATCCCAATTTGAGCAATTTAGCCTTTATCCACAGGCATCCAAACAAGTACATCACTTAAGCAATTAGCCTCATTGTATTCATGCTTGACATGGCAACAAGCACACTTATTCAATATGCTAAAGCAATAAGTGCTCACCTATTACTCCAAGGCAAGCCAAAACAAAGCAAAATAATTAGCAAACATGCATGCCTCTAACCAATGCAAAATGACTAATGCGACACATGCAAGATGCAATTAATAGGCTCGGTTACAAATATGGCATTTGAATCAATTTTTGATAGCATGCGGTTAAAGCACGTTTTTAAAGAAGTTTTTAAATGACAATGCTTGTCAGCATGATGAACCGAGCCTCATGTATTCAAGACAAATGAATGCTTTATACATGGAAAATGCTAAACAAAACATGATGTGTTACACTATCCATCATAAGCGGGAAAATAAAAGGGAGAAAGGCGTGAGGTTGGAAGACATACACAATATTACATATTTCGCCCTCGCACAGGAGGGTCTGAATAAATGCCCTAACTAATTTAAGCTAACTAACTAGCTATTACAAACCAAATGAAATAAATTAATCAAATGGGTCATTTATTCTGCAATTAAAATTTTAAATAAGCAAGATGTAATTTTCATAATCACATGAGATAATTTATATTTCACGCAAATATATTTGTAATTTACCCTTCTTTTTGTTAATTTATTATTATTTTTTAAACCTAAATGTTTGAATGAATAGTTAATATTTTTTGGTGCATATTTGTTATAGCTTTTGGAAAATGCATGGATGGCTCTGTGCTCAGAAGGAGAGGAGAAGGAAAGAGCTCTAAAAGCATCCATTGAGGCCATAGAGAAGATAGAAGCAGAGCTAAAAGGGAAGACACAGTTTTTTGGAGGGGAAAGCATTGGGTATTTGGACCTTGCACTTGGATGGATCTCTTATTGACTTCCTGTTTGAGAGGAAGTTGGGTCCATGAAAATTGTAGACCAAATCCAATTCCCAAACACCACTACTTGGATGAACAATTTTCTCAACCATCCGGTGATCAAGGACACCTCCCAGAGATAAGATGATTGTTTATTTCCAAAAGCGCAGAAAAGAAACCTCATCCCTCATTGCCTCTACTAGAAAAGGCTAATTAAAAATTGTGACATTTCTAGTTGTTTTTCGCTTGCTTCACTTGATGAAGATGTGAATAAATATTGAAAATACTCTAGAATACATAACCAGCTAGTGATTAGTTTTCTTACCTAATGGTATGGATTGCTGGAAATGTAATAAAACAATCATGTGTTTTGCTATGCTATGTCAGTTGTATATTTTCTGATGTAGATAGTTTGAATTGCTTATTTTCATATGCAATATCCATTGACAAAGAATTTCCTTTTTTTACCCATGTTGGTTCTTCCTATTCTCATTGTAGTTTTTTTTTTCCAAAATGAGTTGCACTTTCAAGGCTACTTCTTTTTCTTCAAAAAGAAAAAGGAAAACAAGAGAGTTCATATATAAATATATAAAACTAAACAAGAACATAACAGAACTTACTGATCTTATTGAAAGCAAACTTAGCAAGAACATGAGCTGTATGAATAGCCCACCAAGTAGCTTTAGTAACAGTAAAGTGAAAACTTAACAAGCAAAAATGAAGGAAAAACAATCAATGGCAAAGATCGATAATCCCCATGAGGGTGTTTATCATGCAAGAAGAATATACAATCCAGAAGTCAAAACAAAGAGAGAATAATTAGCAATTCCAAGTGTGTAGTTCCATTGTTCCAGCCATCTATTTATAGGCTACATGATGTCTCATTATCAATGGTTACTCTCCAAACCCAGTAGTCACTATGCTTCATACAATTGTGTCTTTTCATTTTGAATTCAAACCAAACGTTCTAGATTTACATCCTCCTTGAGGGAAGGATCAATCACCAAGCTATGGGAAATAATAGGATGCAGAGAGTCACACTATATTATGATGTGGTCATCTCTATTTCCATCAAAAATTACATCTAGAATTAATGTCTTCCAAACCCAATAAACCAAACAAATTACAGACCATATAGGCCTCCCTTCGAAGTAGCTGGACATCAAGGTTGAAGAAGCATAGAAGAATGCACTACCCAGGCTGAATCTGCATTGCTTCTTAGCCTTGTCTATAGCAACTTTAACAGACCTTCCCGATAAACCACAAAAATGAGGATTAGAACCAACAAAATAAGAGGAACGAGCAGCTTAATTCATTCTGGGGCACTAAGACCTTCTTATCATCCTGAAACAAATTAGCAGAATTGTAAATGAAATTCCCAGATCTGGATTTTGATTAGGCCTAATCATATTCATTTGGGTACACTTCTGTCAAACTTTTTATTATCAACCCATGTTTCAAAAAGAAAAATTAAAAAAGGATTAAATCATGGTATGCAACTACAACTGCATTGAACCAATGTGATATTCAATGAGAAAGAATGAATTCCAAATTTCATCCTCTTTGAACTATTACATAAATTTAAGCGATCAAATCATATCTTGCTTTTCAATTTTTCTTCTTGAATTGATTTGAGCATAATACAAATGTATAAAATTGAAACATGACACTGCTGATGAATAAAAAATATGACAATACTAATTAATAAAATCATGGCAATACTAATGTGTTAGTACTTATTCAATAAAACTCAATAGGTCCAAGTTTCCTCTCCAGATTGATAAGAAAATGTTTGGATTCCAGTTTTTATTAGCTCTAACCATGTCATTTGCATACACTTTTGTCAAACTTTTCAAACTTTTGGATTCCCTGTTCATTTTTTTTTTCTTTTTTTTTTTTCTATTGAAGAAAATTTTATTGAAAAACTAGATAAAGGTCAAACCAGCCTAAGATCAGTGTGGATGCAAACCTTGCTACTTCATGATCATGAGCCACCTGTTACAAGATCCTCTAGTATAAGCAAAAGAAGAGTTACGAAAAGATAGAGCAAAATATGACAATCAGCTTGCATAACCTCTGTTGCAACGCCAATTCTATGCATAAAATTTAACTCATAAACAACTTGTTGAGCTTCACTTTCAAGAATAACTGCCTGAACCCTTCAGCTTCAACGAAGACAAGAGCCCCCATAACAACAATGCCTTCGATTATCTTCTTTATCTTCATCATCTTCATCTTCTTCTTCATCTTTATGGTCTTCTAGAATGGATTTGAACATAGCATAAGCACATCAAATTGAAACGTGACAGTACTGATGAACATGAACAGGACATTTGTAATGATCAATTAAAATTCTAAGTGTGGTTCAATCTCTTTCATTTTATTTTCTAAGAGAAAATTTTTCTTAATTTTTTTTTAGAGTAATTACCTACTTTCATGATTTTGATGGGCCTGCAATAATTCACAGAGGGTAATTGCTGTGTGAAAATAAAAAATTTCTTCCTAATTTATTACATTACTAATTCCAGAGCTATGTAAAAGGAAAGGATAAGATGTAATTTAAAAGTTAAATCCCATGTTAACTAAAGTAGGTTTGTGACCAATATGTAAATGACAGAATGAGAAATTCAACAACCTAATTTTTTTTCCTTTCAATTTAGCCATTGATAACTTCATTTATATAGCACTCCATGGTGAGAAATAAATTTAATTAGTAAAAGATAGATAAATAGATGTTCCCAAAGTACTACAAGGAACCAAAAAATACAGGCATGAAAAAATATGAACAAAAATAATGTGGGGATAAAGGTACATTCTAAATGTGGGCTCCACTATAAGAATTAAATTTGGACTACAAATTATTTTTCTAGATAATTTTTTTATTTGTTTTGGTTGGGAAATACTAAATGGTGTGTACCATATGCAAGTTATGCCATTTGTGAGTTTGACCATCACAAACAGCTAACAAAAGGACATACCGAGTTTGATGTTGATGCTCTTAGCTAGAACATGAGGTGCATGAATAGCCTACTTAGTAGCTTTAGTAACACAAAAGTGAAAACCAAACAAGCAATTAAATTACATACAAATTTAATGTCTTGCACTAAACCAAACAAAGTAGAACTATATGTCAGCATATGCACCTCAGATATCTCCGATATGCTTGAACCATCACGGCTAAGGAGCATAGAGGGATGAACAACTTAATTCATTACAGGGCACTAAGACACTGTCATCCATCCTGCAACAAATTAGCAAGCTGGTAAGTGAAATTCCTTGATTAAGATTTTGATCAGGCCTAATCATATTCAATTTGGGCACACTTCCATCAAACTTTTCATTATCAATTACTAAGTTTCGAAAAGAAAACATAAAAAGGTATTAAAATAATAATAGTGTACAGTTGCATTGGTTAAACCAATTTGATATGCAATAAGAAAGAATGAATTCCTGATTTCATCCTCTTTCATTATCAGCATAAGTCCGTGGAAAAAGAATTTTTATATAACCGAGGCTAGTTTCTTTCTTTTCTTATTGTAGTTTCTTCAAATATTAGCTCTAACCAATCGAGTACACTTCTCTCAAACTCTTCATAATGATTTCATAGTTTCAAAAAGAGATTAAAAGAGTTGTATGAAGCTGATTAAAGCAATCCAATAGGTACCAAGAAATATTGATTCCTTGATTTTAACCCATTTTCTTTTCTTTTTTTTCTTTTTTTTGTCACCAAAAGAAAATTTATTGAAAAACTAGATGAATTATAACCAAGAGCTGCCTAGTGCAAGATCTTCTAGTATAAACACAACAAGAGTTGAGAAAATATCAAGTAAATATATGACAATCATCTATCACAACCTTTGTGTCAACACCAGCTCTATGTGTAGAATTCATACCTGCAGTGACAAGAACCTCCCAAACAACATTGCTTTCAATTCCATCAGTTGGAATTGATTTGAACATAAGCATACATAAGCATATAAAATTGAAACATGACATGAATAGGAACATTACATTACTAATGATGAATAAAAATATAACAGTACTACTCTCTTAGTGTTAGTACTTATTTAATGCCAGTTGAAAGGGGCAAGGTTTCTCTCCAATTCTAATTCTAGTTCAATATACTTTAGCTTTTATTTCTGTCCCTAAGTTTTTTTAAAGAGAAATTATGTACTATCATGATTTTGATGGGTTATTCATAGTGGGTAATTGTCGTGTAGTAATAAAAAAATTGCATCCTGATTTATTAGCTAACTAATACCATAGATAAGATGTGAAAGGAAAAGATAAGATGGAGATACAAGCTAAACCTAAACCCTACATTAAGTTAAGTAGGCTGTGATCGATATGTAAATACAACAATCAGAAATTCACTAACATAATTTTTCTAAACATGACAATACTAATGAATAGGAACATTACATTACTAATGATGAATAAAAATATAACAGTACTACTCTCTTAGTGTTAGTACTTATTTAATGCCAGTTGAAAGGGGCAAGGTTTCTCTCCAATTCTAATTCTAGTTCAATATACTTCAGCTTTTATTTCTGTCCCTAAGTTTTTTTAAAGAGAAATTATGTACTATCATGATTTTGATGGGTTATTCATAGTGGGTAATTGTCGTGTAGTAATAAAAAAATTACATCCTGATTTATTAGCTAACTAATACCATAGATAAGATGTCAAAGGAAAAGATAAGATGGAGATACAAGCTAAACCTAAACCCTACATTAAGTTAAGTAGGCTGTGATCGATATGTAAATACCACAATCAGAAATTCACTAACATAATTTTTCTAAGAGCAATTACTTGTTTTCATGATTTTGATGGGTCTGCGACAATCCACAGAGGATAACTTGCGTGTAAAAATATTTTTTTTCCTTCCTAATTTATTACATAAATAATTTTGGAGATATGTAAAAGAAAAAGATAAGATGTAGATTTAAAAGTTAAATCCCATGTTAAATAAAGTAGGATGTGACCAGTAAGCAAATACCATAATAAGAAATTCACCAACACAAATTTTTTTTTTTCCACCTTTCATTGTAGCAGTTGATAGCTTCATCTATATAGCACTCCATGGTGAAAAATAAATATTAAGAATAAGAGAGTGATAAATAGATGTCTTGAGAATAATGCTAGAGACTAAAAATTTAGACAGAAAAATACTAACAAAAATATTGTATGGTGTAGATACAATTATATATTGTGAGCTCTAGTATAGGACTTGGGAGCAATAAGCAATTGAAAATAAATGAGATATAGATATAAATTTCAAATATATATGAAACAAGTCTACTCCCAACAGAAGAACAGCTTGCATGTGAATATTTAAGTGAGGAAAAGTTATAGGCATATGTAGAAAAGGGAAAAAAAAGAGACAGAGGGAGAGAGATGAGTGGAAGAAGTACTGATCTTCACTCTCCTATGTTTTTGAAAATTTCTTCTATTTTCTTGTCTTTGTCAGTTTATCTTAATATCAAAGATTAAATACAAAAATTGTGGTATATTAAAATTCTTATTGTTCCTATCCTTCTTGGTCATCGACCACTCGAAGCCTGTCATTGAATGCTTTAGGCATATAGGCAATCTCCAATTCTTAGATGGAAGAGATGAATCTCAATCCAAAATTTATTGGTGGTCTTGCTCTTTTCATGTTAATTACTCTTGGTTTTATATGTTCACACATTGTTTAGGAAAAGGCTTGGGTCAAGAAAAAAAAAATGTCTTTTTTTTCAAACATTTCTCCACCTCAAAACTTCCTCTCATGAATACATATATATATATATATATATATGGTAATAAAATAAAATAAAAACAAAGAGTTTGTGTAATTTATTTGTATCAATTTAGTCTTAAAAAAAAAAAACTCCCAAACTGTCATTAAACAGGCAAATGGGATGCATCTAAAGAAAGAACCGAATTTAAGGCAATTGGGGGGTTGACAACCTAATCAAAAGGTAAAGAGTTTGTGTACAAAGCCTTTGCTATCCAATGGGCTGCGCCATTGTTGACTAAATCCAATGGGCAAAATAGCACATTCACTATAGAAATTTGACTAAATTCAATAGACAAAATAACACATTCACTATTTTTAAAGTGATTAAGGGATTAATATCTAATTTTAAAGAACTTATTCCCTTCTGAATGGGCCATTTGCATGCTCTCCATTTCTGTCAAATTTGTTAAGGAATTCAATTGCACTAAATTGACACCATATGAAAACTAAAAGGCAAAATTGATAGAGTTTAAATTACATGGGCCAAATTGGTTCCAAAGGCAAATTATAGAGACCACAAATATAATTTTACCCATAAATATATAAAACTAAACACGTACATAACAAACTAACTGATCTTATTGAAAGCAGACTTATTAGGTAGAACATGAGTTGCATGAACAACCTACCAAGTAGCTTTAGTAACAACAAAATAAAAACTTAAACAAGCAAACAAATTCCATATAGTTTTAATGTTTTCCAATAAACCAAACAAATTGAAGTCCACATAAGTCTCCAGCCAAAGTAACCTCACCAAATTAAGTATAACTATATGTGTCAACAAGTGAACACCACATAGATATCCCTTGATATATGCTTGAACCATCTAAGAGCTTCCAGACAAGCTCTTTGCCTCTGCCGTCAAGGTTGAAGAAGTAGCATAGAAGGAAGCACTAAGATCATATCATCATCCTGCAACAAATTAGATGTTTGGTAAATGAAATTCCCCAATTTGGATTTTGAACATGAACTCCAAAGTTAACAAATAAAAAAATAAAAATAAAAATAAAAAGGATTAAACTACAGTATATAGCTGCACTGATTTGACAAATTTTATATACAACTAGAAGGAATGAATTCTTGATTACAAACTCTTTGAACTATTACTTAATTTAAGCTATCAAATCATATCTCGCTTTTTCAATTTTATTCTAGAGTTGATTTTGGCATAACATGTGTGAGAATATATTATGTATAGAATTAGGGAAGATTGTATTGTGTATAGAATTAGGGAAGATTGTATTGTGTATAGAATTAAGAAAGATTGTGGTGTAACTATTTGGCTATATTTCCTTTTTTGTATTTTCCATTTTCAATCATACGTTTAGGGTTATATAAATTGGTGACCTCTTTGTAAAGAAACACAATTGAATATACAGATTCTTTCAAAAAAAACTTACATGGTATCAGAGCTAGTTTTCAAACCCTAGCTGCCATCGTGCAATATTCTAGTTTACTGGTTCGTGATCTCTGGTTCTAGTTCACCTCGCAACAAACCTAGGGTTTTGCCTGGTCTGGTTCTCTGGTCTGGTCTGCCTCGTTTGTCTCAGACGCACTCCCTCTTCGGTCGACTTCGTGGGTCATCGTCGTTCAAGTAGTCTGGTTCTATGGTCTGGTCTGGTCTGACTCGTCTATCTCAGACGCAATCCCTCGTGGGTCATCTACTTCGATCTTGACTGAAGCTCTACTCGAAGCTATCTGTTGTCGTTGTCGATCAACTTCATTGCCTCGGTCGACTTCTGGGCTTTTGATTCTCTGGTTTGGCTCTTTCTCTCTCTATCTGGGTCTAGGTCTTGACCCATCTGAAAGTTCTCTTATTTGGTATTTTAACCCTGCTCTGGCGTTTCTCCATTATTACAGTTTTGACCACAGTTCATATCTCTGATTTAGTTTGGCCTATTTGACTTCTAAATGTTACGTGTTCGTTGTTCTTGTGTAAGAATACACCTATGATCTCGGATACCCATTAGCTTTAGTCTCTTGCAAAGTCCAAAGTCCAAATCATCAGATGAGTATGTATTTTGCTATTAATGGGACCATTGGAAGTATCATTGTCCAAGAAGGGACATCCGCTTGCCTCATCTCTTCAACAGTCTTAGAATCAATTCTGCGTTCCTCCCACAACTTGGACAGCATCTGCTGTAACTCTTGATTCTGACTTGGCTTACTTGAGTGCTCAAATTAGTCAACTTCAACATATGTTGCCTATCTTCTAGCCATCCCTATCTGTCTCCATTGTTTCTTCTCTTCATTTAGGTTTGCTTGGGTTTTCTTCATGTATTTCTTCGTCTGTCTGGATTTTTTATTCTGGTGCCTCTCATCAAATGACTCCCCATCTCTCTTACTTCAAAATTGCACTCCTCCTTATTTTTCTATTACTGTTAATGTTGCTAATGGGTCTGATATGTCTGTCATATTTATTGGGTTTGTCTTACCGCCTGCTATGTATGTTGTCTCTATTCTATCTATCCTTTATGTTCCTTAGTTATCTATCAGTTTATTATCCATCAGTCAGCTTGATGCCTCTGGTTTTGATGTTCTCTTTTCTTCTTTTATCTGTTCTGTGCAGAATCGGATGTCCAAGTAGTAGATTAGGACTGGCCGTAGAGTTGGAGACCTCTATGTAGTGGAAAGATTGCATCTGTCTATGACAACCTCTCCAACTGCTTTTTTCTCTTTTCAATTTGATTCTCTATCTAGCCTTTTCTACTTGTGGCATTCTAGATTAGGGCATTTTTCGGTTGATCACTTACGGTCTTTAGCTCAGTCTAATATATTAGGTAAAGTTTCTCCTAGTGAATTTACTGAATGTTGAGGGCGTAACCTTGCCAAAATGACAGCCTTACCTTTTTGAAAAAGTAATTCTATATCTGATACACCATTTTCTTTAGTACATACTAATGTTTGGGGCCCTTCTCATGTTCTCACCAAAGAGGGTTCTGCATGCTATGTGTCATTTGTTGATGACTGCACCCGTTATACTTAGGTTTATCTTATGGCTCATAAGTCTGATTTCCATCAGATATACCGTATCTTTCAGTCTCTGATTACTACTCAGTTTGGGTCTACAATTAAAGTGTTACGATCTGACTTGGGTGGAGAATATTTTAAAAATGAGTTCTGTGAGTATTTGTCCAATTTGGGTACCATTCACCAAACTTCATGTACCGATACACCTACCCAAAATGGTCGAACTGAGCGTAAACACCGTCATCTCCTTGAGACAGCTAGGTCTTTTCTTCTCTCTGCCTCAGTTCCAGCTCCATTTTGGGGAGAGGCAGTTCTTACTGCTGCTTTTCTTCTCAACCGCATACCTACTCCCCTTCTTTCTGGTCGGTTTCCTTATGAGGTTTTGTTCTCCTAAATTCCTAAATACTTCCAACTTTGTGTGTTTGGGTCTGCCTATTTTGTCCTTCTTCCCCACAAAGATAGGACCAAACTTAGTGCCCGGTCTGTCCTCTGTGTCTTTTTGTGTTATAGTTCTAGTCAGAAAGGCTATCGATGTTTCGACCCTATTTCCCATCGTCTTTATGTCTCCTGTCATGTTTGTTTTCTCGAACGCCTACCTTACTTTCAGCTTCCTCCTCTCACCACCCCAGTTTTCAAAGAGGATTTGGTTCATATTGATCCATTTCCTTATGAGGTCCCATCTGATGAGTACATCTCCACAGTTCACCCTAAGATTGTTCCATCTTCTCCTCATGCTTCACCTCTAGATGCTTCTCTTTCTTCGGTTTCTTCTTCCCCTCCGTTGTTAGTTTATTCTCGTCGTAAGGCTCCTACTTCACCAGTTGTCTCTACCCCTACTGCTGATCCTCCTACTTCTGACAACTCTGATCCTACTGCACATCAATATCCTACTCGAGCGCACCATACTCCAAACAGGTTGGGTTGGTCTAATACATATTTTTCTATTTCCTATTGTACTTTTTTGTCTGCTATTCACTCTTTTGCAGAACCTCAGCCTTACAAGGAGGCCTGTCAGGATCCTCATTGGGTTCAAGCTATGGAGGATTAGTTGTCTGCTTTATAGAAAACTAGTACTTGGGAGTTGGCTCCTTTGCCTGCTAGTGAGAATTTGGTTGGTTGCAAATGGGTCTACAAAGTCAAGACTCATTCTGATGGTTCTCTTAAGCGCTACAAAGCTCGTCTGGTTGCCAAAGGTTTCTCACAAGAGTATGGTATTGATTATGAGGAGACCTTTGCTCATGTTGCCAAGATGACTACTATCCGTACTTTGATCTATGTTGTTGCTGTTCATTCTTTGCCTCTTTATTAGATGGATATTAAGAATGCTTTTCTTAATGGCCATCTCACTGAGGAGGTTTACATGCGTCCTCCCCCTGGCCTTCACCATTCCTCTAGACAGGTTTGTCGCATTCGACATGCTCCGTATGGTCTAAAGCAGTCTCCTCGTGCTTGGTATGATCGCTTTCAAACTGTTGTTACTGAGCTTGGGTTTCATCCTTATGCCCAAGACTCTGCTTTATTTCTTCTCCACACCTTAGTTGGATTTGTTGCATTATTACTGTATGTGGATGATATGATCATCACTGGCTCTAACTCTTCTGCTATCTCTGAGGTCAAGTAGCGTCTCTCCCGCACCTTTGAGATGAAGGATCTTGGTCCTTTGTGGTATTTTCTTGGTATTGGAGTTGTTTCTTCTCCAAAAGACTATTTTATGTCTCAGACTAAGTATGCTAATGAGGTCATTCACTGTGCTAGTCTTATTGATACTAAGGTTTTTGATACACCTACTGAGCTTAATGTGAAGCTCAACTCTACTGATGGTGTCCCTCTGGATGATCCCACTTTACATCGCGAGCCTGTGGGTTGCTTAGTTTATCTGATGGTTACTCGTCTTGATCTTGCCTATGTTGTTCATGTGGTTAGCCAGTTTGTTTCTGCTCCTCACTCCTTACATTGGGCTGCATTGGTTCGAATTCTTCGCTATCTCTGAGGTACTATCTTTTAGGGTTTACCATCATTCTCTACTTCCTTTCTGGATTTGGTAGCCTAGATTGATTCTGATTGGGCTGGTGATGTTACTGATTATAAGTCCACGTCTGGTTTTCTGTATGTTTTTTGGCGATTCCTTGATCTCTTGGAAAGCAAGAAACAAATTGTTATTGCCCGCCCTACTACCGAAGCTGAGTGTCATGCTATGGCTCATGCTACTGCTGAGATTGTTTAGCTTCATTGTCTCTTATCTGATTTGGGTGTCCCTTAGTCTTCTCCAACCTGCTTCTATTGTGACAACTGAAGTGCTATTTAGATTGCCCACAATACTGTCTTCCATGAACAGACGAAACACATTGAGATTGATCGTCACTTTATCCGACAGCCTCTGCAGTCTAGCTCTATCTCACTTCCTTTTGTTTCTTCGGCTTTGCAATTTGCGGACTTCTTCACCAAGACTCACACTACCGCTCGGTTTCAGTTTCTTCTTAGCAAACTCTCAGGGTTTTCTGCTAAAACAACTTAAAGTTTGAGCAGGGGTGTGAGAATATATTATGTATAGAATTAGGGAAGATTATATTGTGTATAGAATTAGGAAAGATTGTGGTGTAACTACTTGGCTGTATTTCCTTTTTCATATTTTCCTTTTTCAGTCATAGGTTTAGGGTTATATAAACTGGTGACCTCCTTATAAAGAAACACAATTGAATATACAGATTCATTCAGAAAACTTGTAACATGAACATATAAAATTGAAACATGACATTAATGAATAGGAATATGAAAGTAATACTAACGAATAAAAACATGACAATACTAGTGGGTTAGTACTTATTCAATACCACTCAATAGGGGCAAGTTTCCTCTCCAATTCTAACCGGAGTGAGCGTCTTTTCTTCACCAATCATATAAAATTAAAAGATCCCAGTGTTTAAATTGGGTATAAGTGTCTTATGAATAATTTTATACAACCGAGGCTGGTTTCTTCCTTTCTTATTGTAGTTTCTTCAAATAGAGTTGCATTTTCAAGGCTTCATATAATTCCTAGATTAGAAATTTAGTTTCTTTTCCTTGTTCTATCTTTTTTCTTATTTTTTATCTAACATAAGTACATGTGCAGATTAGTAAGCAAAATGCTTGAATTTGAATTTTTGTTAACTCTAACTAATCAATTGTGTCAACTTCTCTCAAATTTTTCATAATGGTTTCATAAGTTTCAAAAATGGATTAAAAGCATTGTATGAAGCTAATTAAAGCAACGTAAGCAACAGGAAATAATGAATCCCTGGTATCATTCATTTTTTTGTCACCAAAAGAAAATTTTATTGAAAAACTAGATGAAGTTAAAACGAAGAGCAGCCTGCTACAAGATCTTCTAGTATAAACACAGCAAGAGTTGAGAAAATATCAAGTGAATATATATATGACAATCATCTACCACAACCTGTGTCAACACCAGTTCTCTGCATGGAATATATACATGTGGTGACAAGAACCTCCCAAACAGCATTGCCTTCAATTCCGTTCACCTGGAATTGATTTGAACATAAGCATACATAAGCTTATAAAAGTAAAACATGACAATACTAACGAATAGGAACATTACATGACAACCTATCAAAAAAATGAACATTACATTACTAATGGTGAATAAAAACATAAAAGCACTCATTTAATTCTAGTTGAAAGGGGCAAGGTTTCTCTACAATTCCAATTCTAGTTCAATATATTTTAGCTTTTATTTTTGTTAAGAGAAATTACCTGCTGTCATAATTTTTATGGGTATGTTGCAATTCACAGTGGGAATTGTCGTGTAATAAGCCAAATTTTCATCCTAATTTATTGCCTACCTAGTGCCAAAGCTAACATGTGAATGGAAAAAGATAACATGGTGATAAAAGTTAACCCCATGTTAAGTTAAGTTAGGCTATGATCAATATGTAAATGCCACAATCAGAAATTCACCAACATAATTTTCTTTCAATGTAGTATTTGATAACTTCATCTGGAGATTAGAATAAATGTTGAACATACTTTAAAGAGGTAACTAATTAGTAAATTATTTACCACTGATGATTGGTTTCGTGAAAGTGATGCAGCAGACATATCATGTATTATCACAAAACCTTGGATGGTTGGCAATTTACTATAAACGGTGTGATTGGCTACACAAATAGTTTGAACAAAGAATTTTGTTTATACCATACTGGTTCTTCCTGTTCTCATTTTATTTTCTTCAAATTGAATTGCACTTTCAAGGGTCCATTTGAAAAATTCTAGATTATATGAAAAGCTCTTTTTTTCTTTTTCTTTTTTTGTAATCTACATATATCTTCAGATTAATAAGCAAAGTGTTCGGATTCCAATTTTGATAGCTTTAACTATGTAATTTGCATACACTTTGGTCAAACTTTTCATAACAGCCTCATAAGTTGTAAAAAGGATTAAAATCATATTAAACAGCTGCGAGAAAGAATGCATCCTCTGATTTCATTCCTTTTTTTTTTCTATTAACCAAAGAAAAGTTCATTGAAAAATTATATGAAGGTCAAACTAGCCTAAGATCAGTCTGGATACATGCCATATCAACCATAGAAATTACATTCATAGATAGAGCAAACCTGGCTACTTCATGATCATGGGCCATCTATTTTACAAGACCCTCTAGTATGAACGAAGCAAGAGTTGAGAAAATATAGAGCAGCTGGGAGAAAGAATGCATCCTCTGATTTCATTCCTTTTTTTTCTTATTAACCAAAGAAAAGTTCATTGAAAAATTATATGAAGGTCAAACTAGCCTAAGATCAGTCTGGATACATGCCATATCAACCATAGAAATTACATTCATAGATAGAGCAAACCTAGCTACTTCATGATCATGGGCCATCTATTTTACAAGACCCTCTAGTATGAACGAAGCAATAGTTGAGAAAATATAGAGCAATTATATGACAATCAGCTAGCATATTCTTTTTATCAGCCCCAGTTCTATACATAAAATTTAACTAATGAACAACTTGCTAAGCTTCAATTTCAAAAATTATTACCTAAAACCTTCAGCTTCAAGAGAGACAAGAGCCTCCCTAACAACAATGCCTTCATCTTCTTAATCTTCATCACCTTCATGGTGAACATAGCATAAGCATGTGAAGTTGAAACATGACAGTACAAATGAACAGGTGCATGAAATTAGTAATGAATAGGAACACAACATTAGTAATGATCAATAAGAACGTGATGGTACAATCTTTTTAATGCTTATTAGTACCCCTCAATACATAAAAGTTTCCACTCCAATTCTAAATGTAGTTCAGTATCTATTTTCTTCTATTTTTAAGAGAAAAATTTTCTTCATTTTTTTAAGAGCACGCTTCCATGATTTTGATGGGTGGTCTGCAACAATCCACAGAGGACAACTGCAAAAATAAATTTTTTTCTTCCTAATTTAAATAACTAATTTCAGAGCTATGCAAAAGGAAAAGATAAGATGCAGGTTTAAAAGTTAAATCCATGTTAATAAGAAATTCAACAACACAATATTTTTTTCGCTTTCATTGTAGCAGTTGATATCTTCATCTATATAGCATTTCATGGTGAGAAATAACTATTAAGAGTAAGAGAGAGATAAATAGATGTCTTGAGAGTAATTCTAGAGACTAAAAATTTAGACAGCCGATACGTACCGATCGATACTACCGATACCGATACTCCGCGATCGATACCGTTACGTTACCCGATACCGCGATTTAGAACCTTGGTCTGCAACAATCCACAGAGGACAACTGCAAAAATAAATTTTTTTCTTCCTAATTTAAATAACTAATTTCAGAGCTATGCAAAAGGAAAAGATAAGATGCAGGTTTAAAAGTTAAATCCATGTTAATAAGAAATTCAACAACACAATATTTTTTTCGCTTTCATTGTAGCAGTTGATATCTTCATCTATATAGCATTTCATGGTGAGAAATAACTATTAAGAGTAAGAGAGAGATAAATAGATGTCTTGAGAGTAATTCTAGAGACTAAAAATTTAGACAGAAAAATACCAACAAAAATAGATAATGCTTATCCTTTTACACCCTCCTCCACTGCTTAAACCAAGTGGGATGGTTTTCACTTTGGCCAAACTACTATATGACCGAAATAAGCTTGGCTACGCAGAGCCACAGAGAAGGCCGAACTGTCCTTAGCTCGGTCTTTTCCTCCAACTCCTTATCTCGGCTTTCCCCTGTTCAACCATGGTGTGTTTAGATCAAACTTCCAAGTGGCAAGTTCTGACCGACCTAACCATAATATGTCACGACCGGACTAAATGCAAGGCCGGACTCACTTCAAACTGCCACCGGACCGGAGTTGCTTTACACATTCTCGAACCGGAATAACCACACCTATCCTGGGCCGGAATAACTTCACTTCTTTTGGGCTGGAGTATCTATACCTCTACTGGGCCGAAATAACATTACGGCTTCTTACCGATTCCTTTACGCTTTGGGCCGCAGGGCTCAACTCACAGCTCGACCCAACTCTTTCGCAAAAATTACCCTCTCAGATGTCTTGAGAGTAATTCTAGAGACTAAAAATTTAGACAGAAAAATACCAACAAAAATATCGTGTGATGTAGATACAATTATATTATGAATCCCAGTATAGGTCTTGGGAGCAATAAGTAACTAAAAATAAATGAGATGTATGTATAAATTTTCAAATATGTATGAATCAAGTCTACTACCAACAGAAGAACAGCTTGCATCTAAATATTTTTCGAGAGGAAAAGTTATTGGCATATGTAGAAAAGGGGGAAAAAATAAGACAAAGAGGGGGAGAGATGTGTGGAAGAAGTACTGATCTTCACTCTCCTCTGTTTCTAAAAAATTCTAGCAAAAACAACTAACAAGTCCTATTTTTGTTCCTAAGATTACTATCAAGTCCTATCAATATGTACAACTAATTCCTATTTTTTATAACATATTTTTAAAAAGTTTATTGCTCCATAATGGTGGATGATATCTTAATTTTACCCCTAATTTAATATGAAAATATTTTTAATATAACTAAAATAATATTTTTAATTGAAAACATTACGATATTGTATTAAAAAAAATCATAGATCACAATGAAAAAATATCAAAAAGTTCTATTTTGTTTTGAAAATTAGTATTGAGTTATATCAAATTTCAATATTAACAAATAAATCTTCTACTTCTTCCTTTTTCTTTTTTCTTTTTAAATTGTTATATGTAAAAAACTTCAATTGTTCATAATATTATATTTTATTTTCATTTTATCTTTTTCATTAAAATATGAACAAAAAATTTCATAAATAATTTTAATTTATTAGAAATTTATAATTAAATTATTTTTAACTGTTCAAATTAAATGAATTTTAATAAACAAAATTATAAGAATTCTTAGAATTCTTACTATGGCATATTAGAATTCTTACTATTCCCTTTTGGATTCATCCAGAAAAAGGAATTGTTTTACCTTCAAAACGAATGGAAAGGATGTGGCTAATTTTGTGAAAATCCTCTCCTTCTTGGCCATCGACCATTCGAAGCCTATCATTGAATGGTTTAGGCATACAAGAAATTTGCAATTCCTGGAGGGTAGGGATGAATCTCAATGCATTCGGAAGCATCTGCAATTTCTTACAAAATGCAATTTGTAGAGAAGAAAGTTTAGGCATGGCTCCGTGATCCACCCTCCACTCCTCAATTTCTAAATACCAAAGACTTAGTCTCTTGAGATGAGGAAAACCATGAGCAGAGCAAACCATTTCCTTTCCTACAAAGGCAGAACCTAAGAATAGAATCCTTAAGTTTGGCAACTTCTCCAGTGTTGCCATTGGGTCTTCCTTAAGTTTAGAGCTCTGCAGCAATAAAAAGGTGAGGCTTGAGCATAATAACTGGTGTTCATATTGTGGTAACTTACCTATAAACCCATCTATATGCAATCGAACAAGGCAAACACACCCAAGCAGTTGTCTCAGGAGGCTTAATCCATCTTCTGAACAAAAATCACAATTTTCAATAGTAATGGATGTGTGTTGTAGTCGATGGTTGCTATTAAGGATGAAGTTATTGACCATCGTTAGGTCCTCAAGCTTTCCTCGTACGCATAGATTCTCCAATCTCCGGAGATTGGGTAATTTGAAGAGATCTCTAACATTAACCTTATATGAATCCAAGTTTTGTCTCGTCTCCAGATTCCTCAAACCATCTACTCGTAGTTTGACTTTTGTACAAAATCGACCAAACAAAGGAAGATAAAGATGTACCAATCCTTCCATCTTCCATAACACATTTGGAATACTGATCTTGCGATGATAGGATGTTCACAAATCAAAGGTTTGCAAGTGTCTAAGGTTGCCTATTGATGATGGCAACTTTGTGAATGCAGTCATATTTAGACCTAAGTACCTCAAAAGGATAAGGTTTCCTATTTCTCTTGGTAACTCTTTTGTTCCTTCTGTATTGCCAATTGTATTTCCATCGAAATTTATAACTCTAAGAAATTTAGATTCTTTGGATAAACGGGTCAACTGTTCTCCAGACGGATAATCACAATCATCACCTGTGAAGAATAAAATTGTCCGAATATGCTGAGCTCTTTCTTCTTGTTCAAAGAGACGAAAGTTACTATTCTTTTTATCTAGATTGATAACAAGTCTGTGTATTTTACGGTAAGTGTTACCACCAATTGATGTCACCATGGATAAAGAAGAGGGATGCTCTTGCTGATTTATATGCCCATATTCAATGACCTGATGAAAGTTTTCCTCTTTTGCCTTTGAAAAACATAAATCCCTCATGAGATCATGAAGTCGACAGCATCGAAACCCTCTGCTTTCTCTAATTATTGAATACTCCTCTGGCTGCAATTCCACTTGAACCATGCAGCTTTGTGCTAGTTCACCCAAGTAACGTTCCGCTACATGCATCATGGTTTCGTCTTCTCCTCTTTCTTCTTGGGATATGAAGCCTTCAGCCATCCACAATTGATATGGTCTTTCTGCATCAATGTCAAAATCCTCAAGATAATTGCCCAAATAAAGGAAACATGCCTTGAGCTGATATGGTAAGTCTTGGTAACTCAAAGCTAACACATCCAATACTCTTCCATCTTGTTCTCCTCCGATGTATTCTCCTCTTTTTGGATAAGAACTAAAATTTTGTTGCACTTTCTACCAATGGCTCAGGGTCAAGTTTGTTCCTAGAAGTCCTCCAAGCACCACAATGGCTAGAGGTAAGCCCCCGCATTGTTCAACCATTTCCATTTCTAACTTCTCCATCATTATGTCAACTTTGAATTCTACAACAGAACAAAGTGCAAATTTATCAATACATAAAAGCCTCTTGTCTTAGTCGGACAAATACAAGTATGGTAGTTTGTCTTATATGAACTCCAAAAGGAATTTGCAAAAATATGAATTAACTAGTCTAAACTGTTAAATCAACCCAATCGAATGATCAGATGCAGTGTACAGTATTTCTATTGAAATGGTGCATACCGAGCCATTTGAGCTAGTACGGGATGAGATTTATGACCATGGTCTTATCACCGACCAAATAATCTGTTGGGTATACCTCCTTAGTGGAGTATGAGACCCAATTGATTTATTAAAATATTTCTTTTAGTTTGGGATTGGTTATAGTATATTTTGAATATATTATATCTGACTTTTAGAAGCCCAATAGGTATTTAATATTCAGTTTGATAACAACTAGGGTTTTGATAAAAAGCCCAAGATTTAACTATATATATAAATATTGTCTTTGCTCTTCCGAAGGATTGTGCGGCTGCTACAACATTGTTTCGGTGGGTATTGGTTTTGTGTGGCAGCAACAAATTTGATATGGTGCTTGCTGAGTAATTCAATTAGTGAGTTCAAAGCTTGGTGAAATTAAATTCTGTGGGTTTATTTCGGTAGTTATTGTGTGGCTGATTTAGGTTTTGGGTTATTATTTTGGGTCTTTTACAACTCTATTTCGAAGACTCTCATTCATCTATTTGGTGAGATCTTTCCTTTTGATTGTTTGTGATTATTTGGAATTCACCTAAGAGTGGTTTTGTGAGACCATTCATGTCTTGTTTGTAATCAATTGGAAACTTTTGGGTTAATAGTGAAATCGGATTTCGATCCAGTGGACGTACCTCACATTGAGGGAACCACGTAAAATTCTTGTGTCGTTGATGATTTAATTTTTCCGCATTAGTTTTTATTCCCATTGATTGATTTACTTGTGGAAAATCATATATTTTCTCAAACAACTGATATCAGAGCTTACGGTTTATTTAGATTTATTTATTTGTGTAAATCAATTCAGGGGAATGTGGGTCGTATGTCTAGTTTCAATGGAAGCAATTGGATAACTTGGAAAATGAAAATGGAGAACCTATTATTTTGTAAAGATTTGTATGGACCCATTGAGGGTGATAGTGGCAAACCCGAGGGTATGAAAGATGATGAATGGAAGAGGCTTAATCGAAAAGTCGTTGGTGTTATCCGTCAATGGATTGATGATAGTGTATTTCAGCATGTTGCTACTGAAACTTCGGTACATGATTTATGGAAAAAATTAGAGGGTCTTTATGACAAAAAAAGATAATCAGCTACAAATAAAGCTTTTATGTTTCGAAAGTTGGTTAATTTAAAATATAAAGATGACAACCCCATTCCGAAACATTTGAATGAAATAAATAGTATTGTTAACCAACTTGCTTCTATGAAATTTGTTTTTGATGATGAGTTGCAGCCTTTGATGTTATTTATTTATTTGCCCGAAAGTTAGGGGACTTTGGTTATGACAGTTAGTAACTCAGCCCCAATAGAGTTGTCACAATGAGCCAAGTCACTAATAGCATGTTGAATGAAGAAACTAGAAGAAAATTAGTGGATTCCTCTCATTTAGAAACATTTGTTGTGAGAGGCCGAAGCAAAACAAGGGGGAGGAGTAAAACTCCTCATGGTCATGATCAAAGCCGAACAAATCAAGATATGGTTCTTTTTCAAAGAAAGACATTGAGTGCTATTATTGTCATGAAAAAGGACACATGAAGTGAGAATGCCGAAAGCTTAAGAACAAGAAGAAAAAGCGTGACAGAAGTGTCGATAAGAAGCAAAAAGACACAATGATGATTATTACTGATGATCTCATGGTCGTTTGTGAAGATGATTGTATCAATTTTGTGGGCTAAGAGAGCAATTGGGTGATTGATTCCGATGCTTCTTTTCATATGACTTCTTGAGTTGATTTCTTCACTGCCTACACCAAAGGAGATTATGGTTGCATTGGAATGGGTAATGAAGGTTTGTCCAAGATTATTAGCATGTGTGATGTTTGCTTGGAAACAAATTTAGACTGTAAGTTGTTGCTTAAAGATGTGAGGCATGTCCCGACATTCTCTACCGGGAAGCTTGATGATGAAGGCTACAACAACAAATTTGGTAATGGAATATAGAAGCTCACAAAGGGTTTTTTTGTGGTGGCCAAGTGCAAGAAGACTCATACATTTTATTCGATGCCAGGAAAAATTTATAAAGGTGTTGTCAATGCACTTGAAGATGATATTTCTAGCGAATTGTGGCACAAGCGACTTGCGCACATAAGTGAAAATGGGCTGCAAGTTTTGTTCAAAAAAGAGCTTCTACCCAGTTTGAAAGGTACACATCTTAAAACATTTGTTCATTGTTTAGCAGGTAAACAACATAGAGTTTCTTTTTATGAAAATGTTGCTTCAAGAAAAGAAAATGTTTTGGAGTTGATTCATTCGAATGTTCGTGGTCCTTTAAAAGTTAGAACACATAGTGATGCACTTTATTTTGTTACTTGCATTGATGGTTATTCAAGGAAAGTTTGGGCTTTTATACTAAAAACTAAAGATCAAGTTCTAGATGTATTTAAGTATTTTCAAGCCATGGTTGAAAGAGAAACATGGCATAAATTGAAGTGCATCTGAATAGACAATGGTGGTGAATACATTGGGCCATTTGATGAGGATTGTTGTAGTCAAGGTATTCGGCATCAAAAAACAGTTAAAAAGACTCTTCAACAAAATGGCGTTGCCAAGAGGATGAACCGCACCATTGTGGAAAGAACAAGGTGTCTGCTTTCACATGCTAAATTGCCAAGATCCTTCTGAGTTGAGACAATGAGAACAGCGGTTGACATGATCAATTTGTCTCCTTCCTATCCTTTGAATGGTGATGTTCCCGAAAAAGTTTGGACTGGCAAAGATATGTCGTATGAGCACTTGAGAGTGTTTGGTTGTCGAGCCTTTGTTCACATTCCAAAGGATGAGAGGTCCAAGCTTGATAGTAAGTCAAGACAATGTATTTTTCTTGGCTATGGGCGTGATAAATTTGCTTATAGATTACGGGATCCGGTCGACAAGAAAGTTATTCGAAGCCGTGATGTTGTGTTTAATGAAGACCAAACAATTGAAGACTTTGGCAAAAGTGATCAAACGAAGCCAAAAACTAGTGATCTCATTGACATAGATTCATCTTCTTCATCTTCAATTGACGATGAAAATGGGAGAGATTGAAGCCACCTATTGAAGATGTGGAGGATGATTTTAATGCTAATGAAGTTAAGCCTAAAATTAAGGAAGAAAATCCAATTCAAAAACCACCATCACAAATTGAGTTGAGAAAATCTACAAGAGACTAACAACCTTTGAAAAAGTATCGACCTAATGAGTTTGTGTTGATATCCGATCAAGGGGAGCTCGAGAGCTACCAAAAAACAATTGAGCATGCAAAGAAAGGAGATTGGAAAAAGGTCATAAAAGAAAAGATGAATTCCTTGCTTGAAAATCGCACTTATGATTTAGTGAAGTTGCCTAAGGAGAGGAAAATTCTGAAAAATAAGTGGGTTTTCAAATTAAAGAATCATGGCAAGAATCTAAGGTACAAGGCACGTCTTGTTGTGGAAGGCTTGAGGCAAAAGAAAGGTATTGACTTTGATGAGATTTTCTCACCGGTTATGAAGATGTCTTCTATTCGGGTTGTACTTGGCATGGCCGTAAGTATGAATCATGAAGTTGAGCAACTTGATGTGAAGACCACATTTTTTCATGGTTATCTTGAAGAAGAAATTTACATAAAGTAACCGGAAGGTTTTATAGAGAAAGGGAAAGAAAAATTTGTTTGCAAATTGAAGAAAAGTTTATATGGCCTCAAGCAAGCCCCGCGTCAATGGTACAAAAAATTTGACTATTTCATGATGAATAATGGTTTTTCTAAAACCACTTCAGACTATTGTGTGTTTGTGAAAAAAATTTCAGATGGAAAATTTATTATTTTTTTGTTTTATATTGATGACATGTTAATTGTGGGTCAAGATTACACTATGATTGACAGATTGAAATTAGAGTTGAGCACGTCTTTTGCTATAAAAGATTTGGGACCAGCAAAGCAAATACTTAGTAAGAAAATTGTTCGTGATCGCAAAAATGGACTGATTTGGTTGTCTCAAGAAAGCTACTTTGAGAAAGTTCTTGAGAGGTTCAACATGGATAAAGCAAAGCTGGTTGATTGTCCACTTACGAGCCACTTCAAGCTTAGTTTGAATCAATGTCCTACAAGTGAGAAAGACAAGAGATGCAGAAAATTCCTTATGATTCAGCGGTTGGTTCTTTGATGTACGCCATGGTTTGTACAAGATTGGATATTACTCACTCGGTTGGTGTGGTGAGTCGTTTTCTCTCTAATCCGAGTAAAGAACATTGGGCAGTGGTAAAATGGATTCTAAGGTATCTTCAGGGGACTTCAAATGTGTGTTTGTGTTTTGAGGATAGTAAACCGATACTTGATGGGTTCACGGATTCTAACGCTGGTGATGTTGATTCTAGGAAATCTACTTCGGAGTATTTGATGACATTTGCGGGGGGAGCTGTGGCATGACAATCTAAATTATAAAAATGTGTTACTCTCTTAACTACCGAAACTAAATTTATTGCCATTACGGAAACTTGTAAAGAAGAGTTATGGTTTTTTTGCAAGAGTTAGGTTTGAAGCAAGAAATGTATGTGCTTTATTATGATAGTCAAAGTGCTATTCATTTGAGCAAAAATTCTACTTTTCATTCGAGATCGAAACACAATGATATAAGATATCATTAGATTCGTGATGTGTTAGATTTAAAATTGTTGCAACTCGAAAATGTTCACATAGATGATAACATTTCAGATATATTGACTAAGACTTTGTCAAGGGACAAACATTTGAAGTGCCGAACTTTGGCGGGTATGGTTGATGTCTCCACCTAAGTCGGTAAGGGGAGAATTGTTGGGTATACCTCCTTAGTAGAGTATGAGACCCAATTAGTTTATTAAAATATTTAGTTTGATATTGGTTATAATATATTTTTAATATATTATGTTTGACTTTTAGAGGCCCAATGGATATTTAATATTCAGTTTGATAACAATTAGAGTTTTGATATTATAAAAAAAATCCAAAATTTAACAATATATATAATATTGTCTTTGCTCTTCTGAAGGATTGTGCGGCTGCTACAACATTGTTTCGGTGGGTATTGGTTTTGTGTGGCAACAACAAATTATGGTGCTTGCTGGGTAATTCAATTGGTGAATTCAAAGTTTGGTCAAATTAAATGGTGGCTTTATTTCGGTAGTCACTGTGAGGCTAATTTGGGTTATTATTTTGGGTCTTTTACAACTCTGTTTTAAAAAATTTTGTTCATTTATTTGATGAAGTCTTTCCTCTTGATTATTTCTGATTATTTGGAATTCACCTAAAGGTGATTTTGTGAGACCATTCGTGTCTCGTTTGTAATCATTTAGAAACTTATTGGTTGATAGTGAAACAACTAGTTGTTGAGTCTCATCATCAACACGTTTTACAGCAACAAGGAGATCTTTTTCCGTGAACTTATCAACACTTCTTTTGATATAAGTCTCTCTCTCTCTCTCTCTTTAATGTTGATCATTATTATTGATTTTGCGATTGATCTGGAAAATCGAAGAATTGTGTTTGAATATGAAAAATCTAAAAAATTGAATAACTATTTCGTGACTTGAAAAATCTGGAAAACACATTTAGATTGAAGAACAGTAATCGAATCTAGAAAATCAAACTAGAGAGAGAAAGAGATAGAGATAGAGATAGAGATAGAGAGAGATTAGGATGTGTGGCTGCTTTAGATCTGTGGTCTCCATCGCTTCAGATCTCTAAGCTTGTTAACTTTGAATCAAATGATCGGCCAAGACCAATCTAGGTTATGATCTACGGTGGCAGATTTGAAGTTGTCGTTGCTATAGTAAATAGGCGATGGTGCACCGTCGTCGATGGTGGCAGATGAAAAGTGATTGAAGTAGATGATGAGTCGTTGACGAGAAGGTCAAAGTCGTAGTATCATCATTGAAGGATCGCAATGTCGCTTCAATCGGTCTGTGATGAGAAGAGGAGAAGAGAGATAGAGGGTGACGATAGTGGTAGTTATGGTAGCGGAGGACGATGCGATAACATTAGCGCCATCGCAAGAGACAGATGAGAGTGAGAGAGAGAGAGAGCGTGCGTGTGTGTGTGTGTGTGTGTGAGACTGTTAGGTTTGGGATATATATACAAGGGTATTTTGATTATTTTGCTTGAGTTTGATCTTTTATTAAATAATTTCAACGCTTGGACTGTTCACCAAACAAAATTGGAATTTAGATTTATGGATGAAGTGTCCTAATATACTATTAAACTTATAAATAAAAATCATCTTCATAAATATTTTATTTTAAAATAGTTTAAAAAAAATGATATTTAGGCCAAGTTTGGCTAAACTAAAAAAGTGCACCTATTTCATTTTTTTTTTTGGGTCACATCAATCAACATCTCCTCTTTACTTTTTCTACACTAGTACAAGAAAAGTAAAAAAATGCACTTATTTAGTCTTCCCAAACTTGGCCTTATATTATTACTTAAAAAAATGATTTTATATTTATATTATTACTTAAAAAAAATGGAACTTGGATACTTGGGTGAAAATAGACAAAGGCCTTTCCGAAGGAATTGGGATCCTCCCCTTGAGGTCCCTCCTTCATTCCCTCCTTGTAGGGGCTTTCGGGTCCACTTTGAGGCTCAATTTTGATAATCCGAACCGTTCATATTTTTAGATTTATTCAGTATATCATACCTGTAAAAAATCAAGTTGATCGAATATCATAAAGTATGTGTTCGGAAAACTGTTTATTAAAAAATAGTTTGTAGTCCCAATTTTCTGAACGCATACTTTCTGATATCCGATCAACTTAATTTTTTACAGGTATAATATACTGAATAAATCTAAAAATATGAACGGTTCGGATTATCAAAACTGGGTCTCAAAGTGGACCCGAAGGCCCCTGCAAGGAGAGAATGAAGGAGGGGCTCAAGGAGGGGATCTGGACTCTTTCCGAAGTACCAAAAAAAAAAAACAGAAAATAGACAAAGGCGGTCTCTACAGTCTACACATGCTTGATTTTTCCAGATATTTTCCGAGCGAATCTGAATATACCAGGAAAACTGAAAAAGAAAAAGGGGGAAACGCAAAAAAGAATCGATTTTTGTGTAGCAATTTGTTTTGTAGAGAGAGGAGAAAAAAGAAGAGAGAAGCAACTTTGTTTTCCCTCTCCTCAAAATTCGCTCCGTTTTCCCAAACCCTAGCTTCGTCTGCCGCCGGCGAGACCAACCGGAGAGGACGAAACAAGAAACATCTCTTTAGGGTCGCCTATGATGACCCCTTACGACCAAAGATACTCCGATCCTCTCTCCTATCGCCAGCGTCGAAGGTACGCCAAATACTCCCATTCTAAAAAGGGAAAGTGCTCTTGAACTACAAAAGCAAAACATGATATCATATTAGAGTAGTAGTGTAATTGTGGATATCGAAGTAGTGACAAAATTTGAAGTTTCACAACAAACTAACCTGTAGTATCTGTTTTCGGAAAAGCTTTTTTCTCAAACAACTTCCAGCTTTCTTGCTTGCTTAAACACTTATGTTCAAGGACGAAACCATTTGGATCCACAAATGTTATCACGTTTTTTTTACGACTAGTAAGGATTATTTTGCTGCCCGTATTTACTTTGGGAAATGCTGGTGATAAGCTGACCCAAGCATCTGATGACCAAATGTCATCAAGAACCAGTAAGCATTTTCTCTGTTGTTGAAATTCATAGAGTAACTTCACTAATTGATCATCTATCATATTCACAATCTGCCCACTTTTCTCTGGAATGAGTTTAGTTAGGATCCTTTGCAAAACATCTTTTAGTTGCCATTGTTGAGATATTGAAACCCAAGTGAAGGCATCAAAATGGCACCGAACGTCTTGGTGACGGTACACTTTCCTAGCAAGGGTAGTCTTTCCCAAACCACCCATGTCGCAAATGGAAACAACTCTACAGTGTTTGGCTTCTTCACTCACCAATTGTGCAACTAATATCTTGATATCTTGCTCAAAACCAATGAAATCCTCTTCATGAACGTGGGAATAAGTTTGTCGTAACTGAGATGACCTTTGGAGCGTAGAACTTGAACATTCTCTTTCATGTGCCATAGCAATTAGGCCGTAACTTGATAATCCTGCAGTAAACCTAATGATCTTACTTTTGATTGTATTAATTTCCGACCCAATCTTGTGTCGAGCTATGAATTCATTGGATATGCAGATAGATCTCACGAGGATGTTTTGGATGCCTCTTCTTCTTCTTGGCCCAGCCTTAAGGAAAAAGGTTGCGATCACATTCTCTGCATCATAACCAACTTCTCTGATTTCCCCAACCAAATGACGGATGATCTCATGTTCAATTTGTTTTGCGTTTGCGTCTTTTAAAAAACACTGCATCTGTCTTAACTCAACCAACAAATCGTCAACTTGGTCGCGCACTCCGTATAAGAGTTTTGCTTCTTGAATCATCAATTCACCAATCCACTTGGCTGCAAAAGAGACAATAGCCTGAGCCATATTTCTTTAGCCTCCGATGCGTCTGAGAGTTTTCTAACTTTGGTTGATAGAAGCACGAACTTGTACAACTTTTAGTACCGATCAGAATCAAATTCTTCGTGGTTGAACTTTTTCTTTGGGTCCACACGGTAGAATGTTTAATGAACACTTATTAGTCTCAATTAATTGTGTTAAAAATTGATTATGAGAATTTTATATTGACCATGTGTTGAAACAATAACATGAGAATAAATAAATCAAAAATGCTAGAGGCCCCAAAAATTCTACCAAAAGTTTTATCAAATGTCTCACATGGGTGTGGGACCCACATGGGACCCACATTGTGTGGGTCCCACACCCATGTGAGACATTTGGTAGAACTTTTGGTAGAATATTTGGGGTCTCTAGCATTACTCTCGAGGGTTGTTTAGGTGTCCTAAATAAATGCACTTTTTGTCTTTTTGAACTTAAAAGTTGAGGAAAAAAATATGGATGCTTGGATTAACTTTTTGACTTTTTATGAAAAAAATATGTATTAAAAAATTGTATAAAAAGTGTGTAGAAGAAGATTGGAGATGTGTGTATGACAGCTGTACAATCTGCAAGCCCATTGAATAGTAAGAAATTATTGGCTACTTTTCGGGAATTGCACTTGACGATTTTGTTCGGTCCGTGGGGGCCATCACGGGTCCCATTTTGATAATCTAAACCGTTCAATGTATAGAACTCGTTAAGTACTATAGGCCTATTAAGAGTCACGTTTATCGGATATCGACAGCTATCTGATCAGATTTGTTTTTTTTCAATCGCTAATTATAACACCATCCTTTTTTTATACAAAACTGATTTGATCATGTAGTTATCGATATCCGGTCAATATAATTTTTTATAGACACATAGTACTCGACGAGTTCTACACATTCAACGGTTCAGATTATCAAAACGGGAGTCGTGATGGGCCTCCACGGGCCGAACAGCTGTGTGTGAAAATTGCACTCAAACTGTGCAATTTTTGGGACAAACGTTGCACAGCGCCAGCTTTGAATGATTGTTGAGTTGTATGGATGTGTGGAAAAGTAATTTTTTAATATTTTTTTTGGTGAATAGTGATAACTTTTTAACTTTTTGAGTAATTTTTTGACTTTTTAACTTTTTTGGGAGATGCCAAACTTGGCAACTTAATAATGGATAAACTACAAATTATTATTGGATGGGTATATGGACATGTAGTAGATAATTTCTAATTTGAAATATATTTTAATAAATGTAGAAGTTCATAAGAATATGTGAAAATATATTAAAATTTTAATTATTTTGACGTTTTTTCTATATTATCCACAAGCCATAAGATTGTAGTTTTGAACTTGAAAGAACTTGAGGAATCTGTGGGGGCTCAACACGAGTTTTGTTTCGATTATTCGTACTGTTCATTTTATTATGTTCTTGGTGTATGTCAATCATTAAAAAAGTTAATTTGATTCAATAATCGTAACTTATTTATTTTATTACGTTTAGTTTTGAAAAAATAGATTACAAGTATTATTTTTTCTTATAATAAACTATTCATATTTTTTGAATCAAATGGTATAAAATTTATACTAAAATTTTATTACGAGTAATATGATTTCTAATAAGGAGATTCTTATTATTCTTTCTTGGTTCATGTCGTCCAAAGGTAACTTATGGGTAATGATAAGTTTATGTCTTACCTGAATTTTACGATTAATAATCGGAATGGAAGTTATTACAATAATAGTAACAAAGCTTCCGTTAAAGATAATGAATAAATAAAAATAACAGAAAATATACTATTCTAGTAAGAAAAAAGTTACAAAATAATTGCCAATGACAGATGCACAAAATTATTATAAGACATTTTGATAAAATCAAAGTCACATCCCTACCTATTCTATAAAAAATTACAAAATAATTGTGAATGACAGTATCAATTACAAATGTACAAAACTATTATAAGACATGTTGTGGGGATATATTTTCTGAGTACCAACACGTAGCATGGTGACACCGACGTGTCAGCCGAGGTGCCACGTGTCGTGGTAGTTATGCCGAGGTTATCTTTGGCGAGGCCGAGGTGATCTCCGAAGATATCGGAATCTGAGATAAGCGGATAAGGGACAAGAGTCCTAGAGTAAAGAGAAGACTTAGCCAAGATAATGATAAAACTCTTAGGGAGTTTATCTTTATCTCTTGAAGAGTCCAAAGACAGTATTGAATTTGAGTCCATAGAAGTCAGGCTTCTAATGGGACTTGGATTAAGTAAACTATAAAAGAGAGGCACCCCCGTGGGTCTAAGGTACGCAATTTATGTTTTGAGCAATAAGTTTAGCACTTGATTATCTTTGAGAGATATACTGACTTGATCGTCGGAGTGCCCCCGGGTGGTCGAAACCACCGCGAGATTCTTATATTTCTGTTGCAGGTCAGTCAGGTGCCATCTATTCTGCCAGTGCTCTGCAGCTGATTACTAAGCGGGCAGTGTGGTCGGAAAATTACCCACACAATTTGGCGCCGTCTGTGGGAACTTAGAAGAATAGATGGCCAGTGACGGACAGAGAGAAAACATTGGGGGCGACACTCCTGCTGGGAGTGGCAGACCAATTGACCTTGACGTTGAAGGAGACAACCACAATACAGAAACTCATGGCCAGGGCCACGGAGAGAAAGACGTCGGCCAGGAGAACGACGCTTCGAAGAGGACAGACCAAAGCAAGTATTATAACGAAGATAACCTTCAGGTATGGAGGGATAGGTGCCTACGAAGGGATGAGGAAGCGACGGCACAGGCAAACAAGTTGGCAGACCTACAGTCAGTAGTCATCAGCATTTATTAACTTTTTTCAATTCACATGTCTTTCCACATGCCTATATTTATTGATTTGGTTAAAATCCCCTGATCAACATTTATTAACTTTTTTCAATTCACATGTCTTTCCACATGCCTGTATTTATTGATT